ATGGATGGATGGATGGATGGATGGATGGATGGATGGATGGATGGATGAATGGACGGACGGACGGACGGACGGACGGACGGACGGACGAACGGACGAACGGATGGATGGACGAACGGACGGACGGACGGATGGATGGATGGATGGATGGATGGATGGACGAACGGATGGATGGATGGATTTAATCCCTTAATTCAACTTGAAGAGCATGGGGCTGAGATGGTGCAGGGGCAGGGCAGCTGACTCTGAAGGTCCTGGGTTTGATCCCCGGTCATTGCACATCTCATGGTGCATCTGAGCAGGACACCTAATCCCGAATTGCTCCCTGGACGCCTACATAGCTGCCCACTGCTCCACCTGGGTGTATCCCAGGTGCAATGGGTTAAATGCAGAGAGACAATTTCTTAAATGTATGGGAACATACAATGATGTCAACACATATCACTTTATTATTATTATTATTAATATTATTATTATTATTATTATTATTATTATTATTATTATTATTATTTATTATTATTATTATTATTAAGGTTGTGTTGAAGCCAGATTAAGACTTTATTTTGAGATCATCCAGGATGATTGACAAATCATAATTTAATGGTTTGTGAAACAGTTGTAATGGTTTTAACCATTTCCTGACTTCTGTAACAGAAAGTTTCATGTTGTTGTTGGTAAACAACACAAATGTCATTTCACAATAAAAGCTCAAAAGAAGTTCCTACTGAAATGGTTTACGGAGAGAAAATACCGGTCGCACAGACGACAGACGATCAAATGGCGTGCACGTGTGAGCGTGACCAGCTGCAGCCTCAAGCCATCGTGGATGGTAAATATTTAACAAATCCGTACAAATGAAAGATTAAATGGAGCAGCTAAACATGTAAGAACAAAGAGATTACGTTTAAGAGGAAGTGAGACGAACGAGTGCCAAACAGGAGAGAGAGACCTGATGCGTCAGTTTCCTCAGGAGCTCACGCTGATTCTTCTTGGAAACGTTTTACAGCGTTCACGAGTTTCCTTCCAGGATCCAGGACGATTGTTAGGAAGCTGCTTTACTCCTGTCCGTCATAACTCTGCCTCCGTCTCCTTCCAGGGCGATAATTGGAGAGTTAAATGGAGCGAGCAGCCGCTCTGTCCGTCTGAGCCGAATCACGGAGCATTTAGCACGTTGTCAGAAGCGTGCAGATTGTTGCAGGGAGCACGGGTCAGCAGGGCTCCTCCGAGGCCAAACAGAAAGCCAAGGTTGTCGGGGTTAAGAAAACTTCAGGGGAGTTTTATAGAAACCACCGAGGCTCTTCACTTTCCTTTAATTATCTTCAAGCAGACTCATTTCTTCTGCAACTGTAGGCAAAAAGCCTCCGTGTCACTCCTGTCTGCACCGTCTGGAGTGCTCCCTCTCTGCAATTACAGATAACCATTCACCTCCCAATAATAGGCAGGGAGGGGGACTCTGCGTTTGCTTAACACTCAGTAATGGCGTACCTAAAGGCGCTGACAGAACCGGCGCACATGAGGCCAGGAAGGCAACATAAAGGAATAAAATACTGACAAATGAGAAATTAAAATCCCCTGAGCTGCGCTGGACGCAGGTTGTTGAAAGAGGCACTGGCTCCTCTACTTCACGAGGCCAGAAATATAGGTCACTTCATGTTCCTATGAATATTAAAACCCCAGCTGAGTGTGGCTTTATTCCAGACGTGAATCATTTCTGCAGCTTTGGATGAAAGAATCAGAGTTACGATGACACTAGTCCTGGTCAGGTGCTGATGAGATGAACAGCACCGTCAGGAGCCGCAAGCACTCGTATGCCCTGCGACTCCAGGCTTGTCATAGTTTATAGTCAAAGGTCCAAAACAGACTTCTGGATAAAGTCGAAGGTCCAGATAGAGCCAAACTAATTCTTTGAATAAATTTGTTTGCAGTCGACAAACCAAAAGAATTGTAATGTTTGCCTTCAGCTGTTTGCACCCTGCTTCAGCTGCAGAGGTGGGTGCAATGTGGGCGAAGGTGGGTTATAAGATAATGTGCATGGCTGAGAGGGCAGTTTTGCAAGCCGTGCATAAAAATAAAAAAATTCATAAAACGGCCTCGCAAAACATAACGCAGCCAGTCCGACACATCCGTTAGAGCCCAGTGAGACATTATGTCTATTTTTACAAACTGAGGTTGTTCAATGAGTTATCTACAACAGGTAAGATATTACCTAGTGACAGAAATAATGAGATCGTGGATCCAGGACGTTGAAATGAGTTTCCTCTGCAGAGCTGGACTCTCTCTTAGAGACAGGGGGAGAAGTTCAGTTATCAGGAGAGACTCCGAGGAGAACTGCTGCTCCTCCACATCCAGAGGAGACAGTTGAAGTGGTTCAGGCATGTCAGACTGGGAGGAGACCCTGGGGAAGATCCAGGGCATGCAGGAGAGACTACGTCTCTCAGTTGACCTGGGAACACCTTGGAGTCCTCCCAGAAGAGCAGGAAGAGGCTGTGGAGAGGGACGTCTGGACCTCCCTGCTCAAACTGCTGCTCTGAGAACTGAGGCCAGAACAAGAGGATGGATGGATGGATGGATGGATGGATGGATGGATGGATGGACGGACGGACGGACGGACGGACGGACGGACGGACGGACGGACGGACGGA